AACATCACAAAGGAAGCTTACAGCTGCTCTTCGTTTTCATGCTACGGTTCCAGTTATGGAGGACAAACTGCAAAAATCGTTATATATATAAAAAAAACCACAGGATACCACACACACCACAAAGAATAATAAAATATCTAAATTAAATATGGTATTATAGAAAAACAAATAATTTCAAGAGTTTCAAATCATCTCGATGATGATTTCTCCAGGTTTAGACCTCCACACTTTCACAGTGAAGGCTACTGCTCTCTCACAGAGTTACTGTTTGTTTGTAGGGCTTTTATTATGAAAGGTAAAGAGGATGTTTGTCAAAGACTTGTTTGACTGTGCGACATCAATCACCTGCTGCTGGGAAAATTAAAGTAAAAACCTGTAACAAACATTAGGTGGCTACAGCTCGGCCATATCATACCGTTCATGGTAATACCGCTACAATGTTGGGCAATGATAAGAAAATAAAATATGGCGTTAGAATATGGGCATGCGCAGTGCCTTTGTTTTCATACGCACATGGCCAAAAAGCATGGCAGCAACAGAGAATGAGAAGGGAGAAAGCGGATCGTTGAGTGAAACAGATGAACCAGAACTGGTTTGTAAAAATGCAACTTCAGTGATGTGGAACTGGTTTGTGTTTGTCCGTCAGATACACAACAAAGCACATTTTTTTTTGTACAACATGCAAGCGGTCCGCTGTTATTGCCGTATCTGTCAGACTACGGTGCTCGTAAATCTGGGAGTAATCTGTAGTGATGTGCGATACCACTGATTTCCTTTCCGATCCGATACCAAGTAATATTCAGGGTGGTGTCGACGATACTGATCCAATACCGATACTTTGTACAAAAATTGATTTTATTTATTGGATCTCAAATTATAGCGTCATAATGATTACAGGACATCAGATTTCTTGTTCTTATCACTTAATAATGCAGAGTTCATCATATAGAAATAAAAAAACTAAAGTTGTGCACTATTTGAACACCTTGCCTGCCTGCAGCACTAAAGGACTCTGTGAGAGAAGTCACCTGTCCCTCTCCTCCTCTTCAGTTTGCCTCAACATACGCTCGTCATATTCTGTGATATGATTTACTTTGAGGTGTTTGACGAGGTTAGTGATGTTGCCACAACCATACA